TTTTCATCAAAAAAAGATGGCGGCGCCCAGCTGATGCCGGTACCGGGCCGCGGCGCCCAGCTGATGCCGGTACCGGGCCGCGACGTAAGAAAGGTTGGGGATCACTGTATTAAGGTATATAGCCTGGGAAGAGGTCACTATGGGATAAGTGTGGATCAGCATAATGGTTTACTTAGACTGCTATATTGGCCTTTTATCCCCTATAGTTATGCTATTTTATGTTTGATTTTGTCAGATTGTCTTTGTGTGAAAAAGCTTTGGCTGAATATTTAGACACCAAACGATTGGCCTTTCCCAGGTTTTACTTTATTTCGTCTGCTGATTTACTTGATATTCTTTCAAATGGCACCAATCCACAGCTGGTAAGTCACTTATATTTCCCCCCCAGTTATAAACATGGCATTTTGGAGAATGTGCTGGATTCAGATCCTCAACACTGGCTGTAAGAGCCTGTTCTTTCATTTCTGCAACATTGTCCATAAATCTTCGCTTTCAAGGCATGTTGGATCTTTGAATCCCCACTAGATGGCAGCCTGTACATCTAGTTACTTCGCTTTTCCTAAAATTCCATTATGTCAACATTGGTTTGTAAGGAGAGCAGAGGTGAAAAGTTTCCCTGTACAAACCATTGCAGATGAAGAATAGGTATGCCAAGTAAATTGCAGAATACCACATTTTGCTGTTTGTTTTGTACTATGCCTGATTTTTCCAGTTGGCTATAGATATTGAGAAGTTTGTTAAGACACATTTGAAAAGATCATTTGTAGTGGAGAAAGAGTAGGGTGGGAAACCATTGAAGGCATTCATTTAATCATTCTGGATCTAATTATTTTTGCATATATAAAAGTAAAGGAGAGAAGAAGGAAGGTAGGATGGTTTTCAGTTATGTCTTGGATGCTTCAAAGATTTTTCATTTGATCCTGGGCTAAATGCATCAGAAGAAAAGAGAAACTCAGTGAAGAATAATGTTTAAAAATTCTCTGGTAGAAGAAGGAACAGTTTGAATTCTGTCTTTTATTCCTATTTAAAGACATGTGTTATAAAATCAAAATAAATATTATGTTGATGAAATATGGATAAATGTATCAGTTTTCCATTGTTGTCTTAGAGTTTTGTCTGCTGATTCTAGGAGAGGATTAACTGTTCAGTGATTTCATCTTAGTGGCCCATATATTAAACTAGCAATGCTTTAAGTGCAGTTGAAAGATTTAGTTGATGGCATGTAAGAATGTTTACACACAATTGATCATATGGAGAGAGAGATGCTTTCTACATAAATTTAAGTTTATTTTAAGATTGCAGAATTGGTTTTATAAGCTGTTAAATGCCAATTATAGTTGATGGGCGTTCTTTAAAATTTAGCTCTGAAAATGACAATTAACTAAGAAAATGGGCTATAAGTGTAAGTTGTGTTTCTCTTTGATTCAAAGTCTGATAACAGTAGTCTTAGTGAATATACCACCAGGAGATGGAAGCTGATGTTTCTTTAAGTCCTCATTTGGGCCTAATGGAGTTAAGTTCGGTGTGCCTTGAATATGAACAACCTGTCCTAATTCATTTTGTAGGTTCAGCGCCATCTCTCAAAACTTTTTGATAACATGGCCAAAATGAAGTTTCATGTGGATTCTGAGCAAAACCCAACCAAGCTGGGTTTAGGGATGTACAGTAAAGAGGAAGAATACGTTGATTTTAGTGAGCCATGCGATTGCAGCGGGCAGGTAAGTAAGTGGATCGTGAACAATTTAGAGAAGTTCAGTTTCAATTCTTGAGTTGGAGTCGAAAAGCCACAGGAGGCTTCCTCACCGATGTTCACCTAGTGCACATATATGATGCTCAGAATAGCATAGAATTATCCTTTCCATAAGATGTGGCGGAGTATGAACAATTATGACATTTTCTGCAGAAAATGCTAATCAAGGAGAGGTGCCTGATCTATGGCTCACAAAAGCCCTGGAAATGGACGCTAGAGACCTCCAAAAGTTGATACTATGTTATAAAACCATATTCAATGAGAGGCGATATTAAATACATGACTGGAGCATAATTATATTTACAATACTTCATTTTAAAGAAATGGAAATGAAATTAAATCTAATTTTTGTTCTGACCTCATTTAGAGCATGGCCTCTGGAAAGATGAATTACAGCTCTCAGTAGGGAAAAACTCACACAACCTTGCTACCAAAAATAAAGAAGTTCATATATATATATATCACGTGGTGCAACAATTGGGATCTGTTCCAGAGAAGGGTGTCCAGCGACAGCATTTGGTATTTCCAGAGAAGGACATGTTGTAGATGCCCACTGACTTACTTTTTCACTTCCTTCTCTAGGTGGAGTGCTGGCTGAACCGTGTGTTGGATTGCATGCGGGCCACTGTGAGGCATGAGATGACAGAGGCTGTGGTGGCTTATGAGGAAAAGGCAAGGGAACAGTGGCTGTTTGACTATCCTGCCCAGGTATTGCTTTGCTTCTCCTTCTGAGGAACAATACGTAAAATCTGTTTGTTTTTTTTAAGAGCAAATGATATTTGCTCCAATTTTCCCCAAGCAAGCCAGCTCCAGTCCTGATAAATAGGATTGCTAGTTTTGAATTTCCCAGCCAGTTGCTTGCCACGGTAGATTGAAAATGCCAGCTGCTGTAAGTCCAGCATATACAGAAGAGTGATGGAATAGACAGATACACTCTCTAATATGGAACATTTTTCATCTCTACTGCAAATGGTCAGTCTATCAGTCATAGTTTAAAGCCACTTTAGCTTCTGTTTGCAGATGTTGAATCATTTTCCTCTCATTCTCAACGCGCCCCCTTCCCTTCCTGGGACCACCACTGCTGAGAATTGGTGGCATGCAGGGTTGCAGGAAAAAAACCACACTATATTATAAAATCTACAATCAATATTTCAGTATTAAAAGTCCTGAAACTCTCCCATCTATTCATAAATTACTATCTTAGTCTAGTAGGTGATGTAGCCAAGTCTAGTGTATGACCCCCATTCCTTCCCCGATGTTAAGGGCAGGCCTGAACAAAAGATTGTCCGTCTCTTCTCTAGACCTTGATAGGTTTGATGGTTAAGAGAAGATATTTTAAATAAATATGACCTTTACCATTTACACATTGCACTAAGCCATGATTTTTGTAACCGTAACATTTTGAGCCAAAAGTAAACAAGCATGTTGTGGCTTATGACAACGTAGGAACCCAGCAGGTATCTTGCTTGACCCTGGTTTATGTCCTGGAGTTTAGAGAGTAAGAACAACCTACAGGGTCATTGTCAAGGGCAATGCTGTGAAAATAATGGGAAATGAAGTTTCTATTACAGGGCCGGCAGCTTTGCTTTTGTGTTAAGCCAGTAGGGGGAAAAAGTCAGTGGCAAATCCTGGGAAACAAAGCAAAAACAAAGGCCACCAGTAAAAGTTTAACTGTTAAATGTTTAACCTTTTTGCTCCCTCTATAAACATTGTTCCCACTTTAATAGCTCTTGAGCCAGATCAGTGCTACAAGAATCAGGCTGCCAACGACTAAAGATTATCAAATGGCTTTACAGCTCAGAAGTTTTTGCTTTGCTTTAAAAAGAAAAGAAAAGCCATTTCCTCCAAGCATCTAATAAATAAGGGCTCGGGGAAAATGGTTTTCTTTTTATAATATACTGGGCAAAGGTTGCTTTTCTAGTCTGAACTTGATTTAGATACCAGACACCGAACAAAAGCCTGGTTGATTTATTTTTCATTTTTTGAAGAAATAGTCTGGATATTTCAGAATTTTCCCATAGCTCTCTACATAAGTCCGCAATGCAAGCTTTTCTATCCGTTTTAATTATGCCCTCCTAATGGTTTACTTCACACTTATTAACATCCTGCTTCTATCCCGTGACATTTATGGACATTAAGCTCTATATTTCATGCTTCCTTATGAGCTTTTTTACTGGCTTCTCATAGATTACCTAAAGCAGATGGTAGCAAGAAATAATATATTTAAGATCAGAAATATTTAATCTCAGCTTTTAGATTATTTTAGTCTTTATGTGACTGTAAAACTGCCCTGTCATTGTCTTTGACTTGATCTTTCTTCCTTTGTAGATTATTTTTTATTTGATGAGTTGCCACTCCCTATTAATATTTCCCATAAAGTTAGGAAAACAGTTATGATATGAAAGGGGATAGAAATGGCTAGAACAAATACATGTTTTGGAGGATTTGCCCATGAGTACTAATTTGCAGGCCTCTGCGGACATTCTTTTTAATTATACTTTTTGCTACCTGATATATTTCCCATTTTATTTTTCTGTAAATGAACATACACCTATGCGCGCACACAGAAATTGGTCCAGTAGCACATCAGTTGCTAGTGACTCTGTGAAGGAAGCTAAGTTGCTTTTCTTTCCCCAGGTGGCACTGACTTGTACACAAATCTGGTGGAGCACAGAGGTAGGGATTGCCTTTGCCAGGCTGGAAGAAGGCTATGAAAATGCCATGAAGGACTGTTATAAGAAACAGGTGACACAGCTCAACACCCTGATCACAATGCTGATTGGACATCTTTCTAAGGGTGACAGGCAGAAGATCATGACCATCTGCACCATTGATGTGCACGCTCGAGATGTGGTGGCGAAGATGATTGCCCAAAAGGTTTGTCCTGCAACATGAGGAACAGCATTATCACTTTTGCCCGTTATTTATTGTGGGATAACTGTACAGTAGTTCTCGCTGTGCTAAAGTTGGGCTCTGCAAACAAAAATGACAAATTAGTAAAGTAGCAATGAAGGGATATTTTCACTGAAGGGATATTTTTTGAAGGGATATTTTCACTGATTTGGATCTTAAATGCATGGAGGTTTCAGGCTCTGTTTTTCTCAGTTAAAAAAATAACTTAGGAGAGCTTATGTAATTTAAATGTGGAGTAGGAAAGGAGTACAGGGAGTAGTTATGAATTAATAAAGTAGTTATTAAAGTTATGAATTACATCTGAGTTTAGGCTGAATCTTTTGTTTATTCATATTCATATTTTTGCATTTAAAGGTGGACAATGCACAAGTCTTTCTTTGGCTATCACAACTCCGACACAGATGGGCAGAAGAAGAAAAACACTGTTACGCAAATATTTGTGATGCCCAGTTTCTATATTCTTACGAATACCTTGGCAACACACCACGACTAGTTATCACTCCTCTAACAGACAGGTAGGGGTCTATATGACTTCATGGAAGAGAAAACATTATTGATAAAGTGCCGTGAAGCTTGGATGGTTGTTATAGAACTTTTGTGTGTGTGTGAGAGAGTTATTTTTGCTAAAACATGTAGTTTCCAATAGGAAGTAGTGCTTGTAAGTCTTGATTAGAAGAGATTCAATTCAGATCCTGCGGCTGTCTTTCTTAAAGACATTTCCTCTTCTTGGACCTGGAAGAAGAACTGCAGAAAGATATGGAACAGATGTGAGGATTTTATGTGACATGGCAATGCTTTAAATAAGATGCCAATAAAACAAATAGCACTGCTTTTATCAGAATGGTCATTATTGACATTCATCAATGACTGCCTCTTATAGATTTTTGTGTAAGAAAGAAAATGATTTTGTGATTTGTATTTTTGATGAATAGAAAATATAGGTTATAGAAAGGAGGGAATTACAATGAAATCATGGAGCAAGTGATTTGATTAGAATTTATGTACAGTATAATTGCTAAGGGGATGTTTAGAAGCCGCATGTATGTGTGTGTGCATTTCATGTTTTCTGTTTTTTTTTTCTTTTCTCTATCTTCTTTCCTCTCTGCTTTTTTATTCAATATAAAATAATAAAATCTTTAAAATCATTTAATAAAAATACTTTTTTTTTTTAAAAAAAGGGTCCTTTTCCATTACTATCTGTAGGATTCACAGTGTTTCTGAATTTGCTTACCTCATCAGAGAGAAGCCAACTCACTTTGTTTCTGAATGGTTACAAAGAATATAGACTGATTTGCTTGATGGTATTCCAGCATTGTAATCCACTCAAATTCATCTCCTCTGTACAAATTTTCTATGGAGTGTATTTTATCTCTACCTAAAGTTGTAAAGGAGACTTCGTGGGTTATCAGTAAAAATAGAATTAGGTAAAAGTATGCAACCAACTTTATTTGTTTCTGTTTTCTATTTTTTCCTTCCTCTTTGTACCTGGAAGATGTTATATCACTCTCACGCAATCATTGCACCTAACAATGAGTGGGGCACCTGCAGGGCCAGCTGGTACTGGGAAAACCGAGACTACCAAAGACCTGGGCCGAGCTCTTGGCATCATGGTATATGTGTTCAACTGTTCAGAGCAAATGGATTATAAGGTAATGGCTGAAAAATGATTGACACAGTGAATCTGTGATTCTGTGAGCAACTCAGTCTGCCTGCCTACTCTGCCTGATTTGGATAAAAGTTGCTCTTTTTTATAAAAAATTCAATATGTACATACATGGTGTGTTGTGAGTTAATTTTGTGAGTTTACTTGCTAGCAAATTTTATGGGTTTGCTTGCAAGCAAATTTTATGTGACAGGCTCAGGTAGCCAATGGCAGAAAGATAGATCTGAGTGAATCTGTGATTCTGTGAGCAACTCAATCTGCCTGCCTTCTTTGCCTGATTTTGGGTAAAAGTTTCTCTTTTTTAATAAAAAAAATCAATATTTACATAAATATTTTTAATATTTACATACAAGACATGCCCAGGCAGTCACATAACCACCAAGCCACACCCACAAATTAGGCCATGCCCACAGAACCGGTTGTTAAGCAATTTGAATCCCATCTTTGACAGTAGGTGACTTCTCTAAAGGTTAATAAAAAATGATCTAATTCTTCTATAGTATCCATATTAAAAAATTATTCCTTCTTTTGAATTGGTAACTCTCTGCTATGTGGAGGGGACCAGAAAAAATCCTTGAGACAAGCATTCCCCTATGTAATAAAGATGTACACTTGAGAAATACACATGATTCATATTTGTCAATGCAACTTCTATGTTCCGTTCCATCTTTCTGTAATCAACGTCTAGAGCAGTGGTGGCTAACCTTTTCAGCTTGGTGTGTCGAAAATCGGAAAAAAGTGTAGCCTTCCTCGGGTCGTGTGTCACTTCAAGAAATATCAATAATTTGGTAATATTTGCAGCCCTAATAAAGAAAAAGTTATATTTTTAATATATTTATTATATTTATTAGTTCAAAAAGCAAAAAATAAACAATGATTTACCTTAGTGACTTTTCTGTTGCTGAATTGCATTTGCTAA